TATTTCTCTTTGTGGGCCCTTGCCTAGTTTCTTAGTCTGTGAAATAGACTAACAGTATCTCCTATCTCCAAGAGGTGTTGGGGGTGGTCCCTCTGATTTAATACATGTATAGCTCTTGGAAGAGTGCGCAGGGCACAGAAGTGTTCAATAAGCATCAGCAATTATTCTTAAAGCTCGTATTGTTTCTTCTGCCACTGATGTGGTCACTATTGTTGTTGACAAGCCAGCTAAAGCTTTAAGATCCTGCAAGAAAGATTTGCAAGCTAGGTAAGTACAGCAGGTAATGGAGAGTCATAGAGCCCTGAAGTATGCTCAGCCTCCAACTGAAAACAGACCTGCCTGGCCCTGACTGAACAGGGAGAGGTGAATAGCTGCACCTGGAGGAATCAAACCTTGGGGGGCCGGAGCAGGGCAGGCCCTGACAACAATCTATCTTGGAGATGGGGATATTTTGTTAGAGACATGTCTGGTTGGTGTCGGATCTTTCTCATCAGTCATGGGATGTGGTGTGAATAGAGACCTGGGCTATCATTGAGAACCATGTGGCCCTGTCAGCAGGTGATGGCACCTGAATGACAGTGTGACAGGGAACAGAAACAGGGCTACAGCTAGCCACTCTGCCTGCCACAGTGACAAGTACTGTGCAGATTTCCACCCAGCCGGGCCTGGGGAGGCCTGCCAGACGGTATGCTGTGTGCTACCGATTTCTTTCAGCACTTCCTATTTTGCCATTCATAGCATCTTGCTATTAAGCAGACAGAACAGCTCATATCCTGTGGACAGATGATAGATATGTCATATCTCTGAAAAATTGTTTGTCTTCCACAGGTGTATGGGCTTCCTTCTACAGCCGGCAGGTCACATGACACTTTTCAACACTCTCTTCTGTACCAGCTTGGCATCCAGAGTCTATCAAAAGGGAAATCTTTCACATGCAATTACGATAGAAAATAAAGGTGATGAAGTGTTGTGTATCAAGAAGGGATGAGATCAAAAGGTGCTAATGAAAACGGATTACAATAGAAGGGCAGCTTCCACTCCAGAAGTTGTGTGGGACTGCTTAGGACTTGGCACTGCTTGGGGGCACACACACTGGCACACACCAGTGTGCCCACAGAAGGAACAGCCACAGATAAAATCACCGGATGTTAAAATAATAAGTTGCTGGGGTTGACTGCAACCCAAGAGGAGTTATGGGTAGTGTGTAATTGTGTCAAAGCACAGCAAAGGCATCTTTTTTCTCAGTAATTCACACAATACAAATTTCTTCCAGCACCAACCAATTAGTGGCACCACTCAGACCTCCAGCAGTCTAGTTGACACACATTGAGGCTGATTTTCCAATAAGATCTTCCAGAGCACAGGGCTTCAACACCCAAAGGCTTATTGTTTCTTAGTGAACTCTGGGAGGTCAAGGGAAAAAGCACTGCCTGCTGAAGTTTATGAATGAGGCTGCTTATCATTGGAGCCTTTGCAGTCAGTGTGCCCATCTTGGTGGCACCCTTTTTAACTGGAAAAGGATTTCTCTGCCTACCAAGACCCTTTCCTGGTAACAGCCGTCACCTTGGAAGTATACATCACACACCAGCATTTCAAATCCTAGAAAAGTGCTTGCCCAGGACAATTAAGCAAAGGCTTTAGGTTTTATATCCAATCTCTTGCTTTGGAATATTATAGGAAAACCCAACTATTTTCAATTAATTGTGGGTAAACCAGTCTGAATTGGTTAAGAAAAAACCCCTCTTAATTATAGATTACTTGAAGAGAAACATAATTGTATTAGTTTCAGTAATGGTAAAGACAGTAATTCAAAGGAAGCTAACAAAATTTTGTCAAATATCTTTCCAAGTTCTTGCTTTAATGAAAAATTAAGTAGAGTTTGCCAATTGTAGTAAATAGATGCTCAACTATTTGAAAATTGCTTGTTTTTCTACGTAGGTTTAAAATTCTTCCTATTGTCTTATTTAATACCTTGGATAGATTAGTAACCCTTTCCCTCTTTTGCAAATATAAAATAATTGAGTGCTCACTTTCTTAAGTAATAAGGCCTGTCAGTGAGGGTGGGAAGATAAGGAAAGGGAACGAGCAATTTGGTGAATGTGTGCTATCTAATTTAACTTTATCTTTATACAGACCATTTGATGTAGATGATATGGCCATTTTTCAGATGAGGAAGCCAAAATTTAGTAAGTCAGTCAGAGGGTGATAGAACTGGCATTGGATTCCTGTTTTCTCTAGCCCCTAAGTTGGCATTCTGCACCCTTCACTTTTGCACCTTGCTTAACCCACTTTGGCTGTTTGTCATACACTGTCCATCTCTAATCTAAGGGTGTTGGTCTAGTAGCAGCACCCAGATACTTTTGCAAATGTTTTTTGTTACCAACTGTAATGGAGATTGCTGAATGAAATGTCAGTCTGCTCCCCAAATGAATAGTATCACAAAGTGAGTGGTCCTTGCAGTGCTATTTTCATAGCCCTCTAGGGTCCTATACTGGAAATATAGGCAGGCATTCGCTTGAATTCTCAATCAGTCTGAGTGAGCAATGTGCTTTATATGAGACTGTGGTAAGCCAAACTGACCAAGGTGGGGACCGCTGACTACCTTTGAATGAATTGGGATATGCGGGGATCAGAAAGGCTTCCTGGTATAGATTCTCACTCACACTGGTTTCTGTGGCCCTTAATTTCCAGCAATGTCCCCCTTGTGTCCACAAAGACAGTACCCAGCTTTAACTGGGTATGTGAATCCTGGGGAGTTTTCACCCATTAGCACTTAAACTTGAGGTAAATCATTAGACCAGAACAGTGTTTTAGAAGTGGGTGGGAATAGGCTCAGGAAAGATGAATTTCAAGAGGAGAAGGGAAGAAGAGCCATTAGCTGACAAGGGTGATTGCAGAGGGTGCTGGATAGTAGTGGGAAGAAACGGGTTCTGCGAACACAGGGCAGGAGTGGGGGGTAGGAGTGTAGCAAAGAAACGTTCCTTACTTGACAATTTTGCCTAAGGCCAGCTTTGCTTAGTAAACCTCATGGGATCATCTCGCTCACTTCAAAGGATCTGGCCCACCAGAAGAACAAAACAATATTTCCCTCTGTGGCAACTTGGCATTGCAGCTGTCATCACAACTGTATCCAGCAAAGCAGCTTATTCAAGTGGCAGCTTGTTCCTTGAGCTTGTCTCATCTTTGAGAAATGCCCAGTGACACCTCTCAGAGGAAATCCTTCATTCCAGGACTCTGTGATATTTTCTGCAGGCGGCAGGCACTTTAGGAATATGTTCCTAGGCATAATGAGCCCTCAGATGGTGTTCACTGGTTTTGTTGGAGACCAGACCGAACTTCCCACACACAGCTCCAGGAGGCACTGAAGAATTTCTGGTTGTTTCATTAGACCTTTAAGAGCTGTTGATTGAGGACTTCATTGAAACCAGCTTTTATGTTCCCAGCCTCACTATTTCATTTTCCATTTAACCCAAAGACTTCTGTTTACTGATGTAGAGTGGAGTTGGTGACTGATTTTTAAACAAATGTTTCTGTAACCTTAGGTTGCATGTAGAGAATAGGGTGCCACCAAAGAGAAATGGGTGGGGAAGTAAAGACATTTTCCTATTCTCTCTGTTCTCCAGAACTTGGATTACAGAGCCTTAGACCTTGAAGGGGCTTTATTGGAGCAAGTAACTGGCTTAATTCTCAGAAAGGGCAGATGAGGAAGCTGAGGACTATAGAAGTCCGATAGCTGGTCAGTGGGTAATTCTATAACTGGAATACCTTGTTCTCATCTGCAGAAGATAGTTTAAAAGGCAGGTACACACTAGCACAGGATGACTGGGATAATCAGGGGTCATACATGGTCTTTTCGAAGAAAAGGGCGGTAAGGAAGAAAATGCACCAAGAGGTCACGAAAACCATCTTCAAATATCTGAAGGGCTGTCACACCAAAGTGTGAGGAGATTTATTCTTTGTTGTGGCTGACGGTCTGGCTAAGATCCATGGAGCATTAGGAGAACAAGTTTGACTCAATGTGAGGAAGGTATTGATCTGCCTTCAATAAGGGCCTGGAATACTTAAAAGAGTAGTGAGTTTGCTGCCTCGGAGGAAAGGACTGTTCAATCCAAAAATATGTTCAAAGGGGTTTCTGTGCTGGGAATATTTTTTTTCAAAGCTAAAGTGAATCAACAAGTTTCCCATCACAGTCCCCAAGAGTCCCCATCAAATATAGAAGGGAATGGAATTAAAGTAGACCCTTAATGCGTCAGTTTCTGGTTGAAATATAACATCTGCTGAACAAGTCATTATTCTGGGTCTACCGTAGCCTTGGGGTCTTCAGCCTTTGCTGTGGTCAGGCTCGGCGGGGGCGGGGGGGGGGTTGATGTAAAAGGAGGGCCCACTTTGTGGATATTTTTTAGAGATGTGCTGATTTGTTCTCAGGTACACCCAGTGATAGGAAAAAAAGTCACAGCGGCACCATGGCTGAGGTACCTACTATTAGCCTAAAGGTGGCAAATCATTCCCAGGTTTGAAAGACTCTTATGAGACCAGCAGAAACCAGGCCTCAGAGGGGGCCAAGGCCATGGGAAGGAACCTCTCAAAGAGACCTTTATAGTTAGTTCTGAGATTTAAGGGCCATTAAGAAGAGTGTCCAAGGCCCTGGAAGCCCTGAGGCCCGGACTGGTATGGCATGCCTCACTCTCTCTGCCTTACTTACCTGGATATCCTCTAAGGCCCAGATTCTGAGCTCTAATAATTGAAATCTCTGATGCTTGAACCTTTTACTTCCAGAAATCTTTTCCTGGCCTCAGCGACCTATACTGGAGTTTCCTGCCTCTGAGTTTGGGGGTAAGGGATAGCTGATAGGCCACATGTGTCAGGACACTGGGAGGTCTCAGGGATAACCCCAACAAGTTGGGTCAGTACAGGGGCCGGGTCCTGTCTGAGGTTCTCTTGAGTTTCCATAAGAATGTCATTGTTAGTCCCCTTGAAATATCTTCCCCTTTGGTGTTCACTGTTCCCAGTCATGCTTCTTTCTGGGATGGAAACTGATCCCTGGCCCAGCAGAGGAAGTTGTTCCCAAGTTTAGACGAACACAATCTCCTCTCCCTTTTTGTATACTTTTCTCAAGGACCCACTGACCTCTTCCAGGTTAGTGATGTGTGACCTAAAGCCTTGGGCTCATCCTCACTGAGTCATTTAGTACATACTCTAAGAGGACTGATTTTGTCATTTGCTTTGTTTACGCTTTGTCACAGGATCTCCATCGGCTTTAGGGTGTTTCATCCTCAGCGTTTCCTAATTTCCTTTTGGAGGCATCAACAGTGTTTGTTTATTTAACCATCAGGCGTCCCATCTGAGTTGCTCATGAGAATGAGAAAACATTGACACGTTTCTGCACCCCCCCATCTTGGGTGTTACTCGTTGGCTTGTAAATCTGAACTGGAAAAGTAAACTTATTTGGAGAAGCTATGAAATGCCTATCCTCAAAGAGTGTTTATGTTGGGGATGAGAGGAGAGTCTGTGTATCCACAGGTACCAGGATCCAGGACCTGGGATCAGGCTAGAAGCCAGAGATAAGGAACTCCTTTTAATCTTTACTACAGTTAGAAATAGTCAATAAATCAGAACTATTTATTGAGTGCCTACCATGTTTGAACAACAGAGGAGTGGGAATTTGTAGAAGCAGATGAAATCATCTTAACTGAAAGCCTACCAGGTTCTTATTTGTTGGAGACCTTTGGGACTAAGTTAGGTAGTGGTACCAGTTACTGAGAAATTGAGAATCACAAAAATAGATTAGCTTCCTGCTTGGGACTTGAAAGCCCTTTGTCACTTTTATTAGATGGGGCTGCATCTTAGGATAGGAGAAACGGAACCTCAGCTTTCTACACAGCCCTTTTTATGCCCTTTGGTAGAAGGTGGAAGACACTTACCCTCTCAAAGCCCATTTTCTCCTCTACAAAGTGAGTCTATCAGACTATCAAACAGCTCCTCAGACTTGTTCTGAGAAGTAAATAAAACACTGTATGTTAAGTGCTTAGCACCCAGTAGACATCAAATAGGCACCAATGAATGAATTGTAGCTGGGCTGTCTTTGCTGGTGACCAATATAAAGAAGCTGAAAAACATATTGTTTCTGTTGTAGCCTATCTTGTTTCATGGAAAATCCTGGTTTCAGGTTCTTTTATCTCTGCCAGATTTTATAGTATTAAGCTGGCACACTGTAGATGGGATACTGGGAAAATGTTTGATGTGCCAAGAAAGATAAGGACCAATCTCTCTGAGAGAGCCATGTGGGCTCTTGTGTTAATTAAAACTGCAAGGAACTGTGGAAGGAAGGCAAAGTAAAGAGTGTGCCTCACACATTCTCAAGGGTGAAGACTGAGTAAGAGAGACTAGAAGAGAAGGAGGTGGGGTGTGGGGGTGGTCCCAGAAGAGAATGCTGATCAGCATCAAGCTTAGTCAAAGTTGAAATTGAGAGAAGGACAAACTGATCACAAATTAGATCAACTGGTGAAATGTGGCACCACCTTCCTCCTAGTCAGACATTAGAAGCCCTGGCCTAAATTCTGGGTGGATTTAAATGGACCAGAGTACATCATGGACCCAAAAGAGGACAGTCTGCCTGTCTCTGGGCAGAAATCCTTTCTCATTTTCCTTATGGATGCTTTCAACTTAGGTAGAAAGCCCCTCAGCTTTCTTTACAAAAAAGCAAATTTGCTGTCATTCCTCAGTCATGTGCTTTACATTTGCATCAGCTCAAATGGCACTAATTCTTCGAAAATACAGAAATTGTTATTATGATAGCAATTTGCTCCCAACAAGCAAAGGCCACGACAGTCTCGCATTATCCAGAATTTTATCCCTGACTCCCTCATCAAAAATAATAATAATATTTAAATAGATTGCAGTGTGGTTAGTGAAATATTTACAGTGATTATCAGAAGTGAAAAAGTAAATTATCATTTACACTGGTTGACTGGCAAGATTAACCCAAGGCACTTTAACCTGCCTTTTGAGAGAAAAAGACCTCTCTAAATGTCAAAGAAAAACATAATTAATTTGCATCCATATTGCATTTATTTATTATTTATTTATTTATTTATTTATATTGTTATGTTAATCACCATACACTACATCATTAGTTTTTGATGTAGTGTTCCATGATTCATTGTTTGTGCATAACACCCAGTGCTCCATGCAGAACGTGCCCTCTTTAATACCCATCACCAGGCTAACCCAACCCCCACCCCGCTCCCCTCTAGAACCCTCAGTTTGTTTCTCAGAGTCCATCGTCTCTCATGGTTCGTCTCCCCCTCCGATTTCCCCCCCTTCATTCTTCCCCTCCTGCTATCTTCTTCTTCTTTTATTTTTTTTCTTAACATATATGGCATTATTTGTTTCAGGGGTACAGATCTGTGATTCAACAGTCTTGTAAAATTCATAGCGCTCACCATAGCACATGCCCTCCCCAATGTCTATCAGCCAGCCACCCCATCCCTCCCACCCCCCCACCACTCCAGCAGCCCTCAGTTTGTTTCCTCAGATTAAGAATTCCTCATATCAGCGAGGTCATATGATACATGTCTTTCTCTGATTATTTCACTCAGCATAACACCCTCCAGTTCCATCCACGTAGTTGCAAATGGCAAAATCCCATTCCTTTTGATGGCTGCATAATATTCCATTGTGTATATATACCACTTCTTCCTTATCCATTCATCTGTCGATTGACATCTTGGCTCTTTCCACAGGTTGGCTGTTGTGGACATTGCTGCTATAAACACTGGGGTGCCCGTACCCCTGCGGATCCCTACATTTGTATCTTTGTGGTAAATACCCAGTAGTGCAATTGCTGGATCCTATGGTAGCTCTATTTTCAACTTTTTGAGGAGCCTCCATACTGTTTTCAAGAGTGGCTGCACCAGCTTGCGTTCCCACCAACAGTGTAGGAGGGTTCCCCTTTCTCCGCATCCCCGCCAACATCTGTCATTTCCTAACTTGTTAATTTTAGCCATTCTGACTGATGTGAGGTGATATCTCATTGAGGTTTTGATTTGGATTCCCCTGATGCCGAGCGATGTTGAGCACTTTTTCATGTGTCTGTTGGCCATTTGAATGTCTTCTTTGGAAAAATGGCTGTTCATGTCTTCTGCGCATTTCTTGATTGGATCATTTGTTCTTTGGGTGTTGAGTTTGATAAGTTCTTTATAGATTTTGGATACTAGCCCTTTATCTGAGATGTCATTTGCAAATATCTTCTCCCATTCTGTCGGTTGTCTTTTGGTTTTGTGGACTGTTTCGTTTGCTGTGCAAAACCTTTTCATCTTGATGAAATCCCAATAGTTCATTTTTGCCCTTGCTTCCCTTGCCTTTGGTGATGTTTCTAGGAAGAAGTTGCTGTGGCTGAGGTTGAAGAGGTTGCTGCCTGTGTTCTCCTTTAGGATTTTGATGGACTCCTGTCTCACATTTAGGTCTTTCAACCAATTGGAGTCTATTTTTGTGTGTGGTGTAAGGAAATGGTCCAGATTCATTCGTCTGCATGTGACTGTCCAATTTTCCCAACACCATTTGTTGAAGAGACTGTCTTTTTGCCATTGGACATTCTTTCCTGCTTTGTCAAAGATTAGTTGACCATAGGGTTGAGCGTCCATTTCTGGGCTCTCTATTCTGCTCCACTGGTCTATGTGTCTGTTTTTGTGCCAGTACTATACTGTCTTGATGATGACAGCTTTGTAATAGAGCTGGAAGTCCGGAATTGTGATGCCGCCAGCTTTGCTTTTCTTTTTTAATATTCCTCTGGCTATTCGGGGTCTTTTCTGTTTCCATAAAATTTTAGGATTATTTGTTCCATTTCTTTGAGAAAAGTGGGTGGTATTTTGATGGGGATTGCGTTGAATGTGTAGGTTGCTCTACGTAGCATTGACATCTTCACAATATTTGTTCTTCCAATCCATGAGCATGGAACGTTTTTCCATTTCTTTGTGTCTTCCTCATTTCTTTCATGAGTATTTTATAGTTTTCTGAGTACAGATGCTTTGCCTCTTTGGTTAGATTTATTCCTAGATATCTTATGGTTTTGGGTGCAATTGTAATGGAATCCACTCCTTAATTTCTCTCTCTTCTGTCTTGTTGTTGGTGTATAGGAATGCCACTGATCTCTGTGCATTGATTTTATATCCTGCCACTTTACTGAATTCCTGTATGAGTTCTAGTAGTTTTGGGGTGGAGTCTTTTGGGTTTTCCACATAAAGTATCATATCATCTGCATAGAGTGAGAGTTTGACTTCTTCTTTGCCTATTTGGATGCCTTTGATTTCTTTTTGTTGTCTGATTGCTGTGGCTAGGACTTCTAATACTATGTTGAATAGCAGTGGTGAGAGTGGACATCCCTGCCGTGTTCCTGACTTCAGGGGGAAAGCTCTCAGTTTTTCCCCATTGAGAACAATATTCGCTGTGGGTTTTTCATAGATGGCTTTTATGATATTGAGGTATGTACCCACTATCCCTATACTCTGAAGAGTTTTGGTCAAGAAAGGATGCTATACTTTGTCAAATGCTTTTCTGCATCTATTGAGAGGATCATATGATTCTTGTTCTTTCTTTTGTTAATGTATTGTATCACGTTGATTGATTTGCGGATGTTGAACCAACTTTGCAGCCCAGGGATAAATCCCACTTGCTTGTGGTGAATATCCTTTTAATGTACTGTTGGATCCTATTGGCTAGTATTTTGGTGAGAATTTTTGCATCCATGTTCATCAAGGATAATGGTCTGTCATTCTTCTTTTTGATGGGGTCTTTGGTTTGGGGATCAAGGTAATGGTGGCCTCTTAAAATGAGTTTGGAAGTTTTCCTTCCATTTCTATTTTTTGGAACAGTTTCAGGAGAATAGGTATTAATTCTTCTTGAAATGTCTGGTAGAATTCCCCTGGGAAGCCATCTGGCCCTGGGCTTTTGTTTGTTGGGAGATTTTTGATGACGGCTTCTATTTCCTTAGTGGTTATAGGTCTGGTCAGGTTTTCTCTTTCTTCCTGATTCAGTTTTGGTAGTTGATACATCTCTAGGAATGCATCCATTTCTTCCAGGT